AAAAAATATTTTTTCTTAAAGGAAAACTTTAACTTTTTAACTTGTAAAAATGCTAGATTTCTGGGATTTGGCATTTTGACATTTGTGTATGGTGTAACATGATATCTAGGACAGGTAAAGTGCTATTTATTTCTGTTTCATAGGTGAATGAAATTCTAAAATACACCCATTGGTAATCCAAATTTTCAAACAATTTGCAGGATTTTAGAACTTTCAGAATAAATCTCTTCATTCATTTGGCTGGAAGTATGAAATGTCACATGGCCAGATGGTGAAAATTCATTGAAACAACTGCATGCCTTTTGTAGACCTCTCTTTCTCTCACTGTTCATAGCCTAACCACGTCACTGGCACAATCTACAACCAAGACAACTAACAGGTAAGACTTTAATTCAATTCTCTTTTTCATATATACTAATGTTATCTAGTTCACTGCATGAAGAAACTAAAGTCAGATTCAAGTTCTGCAATTTGTAGATGAAATGTTTTCTCTAAAACCTATATACATGTTGTCCCTGTCTGCTTTCACTTATGATGGGACAGTAAGGTAAATTTATCTCCACCATATATTCCAATACATTCAATTAAAATTTATCTGGAAAACAATTGTCTTCATAAGTTTTCTTTGAAGAAACTTGCATTATTTTTTTTTTATTACAAATTGATAATTTGAAAAAGTATGAAAAATTAAATATATTTATTTATATATATTTTAGAGCTATTCAAAACAGAATGAATGGACTTATCTACCACTTTGTCCCCTCAACCTCCGGTGTCTTCCTCTTTGGGTTGAGGTGTCCACTCAGTCCAAACCGAACTTTGGGGTAACTGGCCATACGCTCCCTGAATACCCGTAGATTATGTCAACTGGTCAAGTCCTGCTTGCTGTCAACAGTAAGCGAGGTGTTGTCCATATGTTCACGGTCAATTGGGGGTGTGTACATGGCTATGAGAGTTGGTGGTAGGAAGTTTAGAATGTGGCAAAATAAAACAAGAAATAATATCTGCAGAATCCTGACAACAATGGGGGAAATATTGACGTCTTTTATATAAGAAGATAACATCAGAACAGAGGTTACAAAGAGAATAAAAACATTTAACATAAATGAGAAAAGAAAAAGACACAATGCATCCAGCAAATTCCCAACAGAGAGAGGGTTTGTGTGTGATAAATGCGTATTGAATCGACTGGGGTAGGTTTATGACTAGTAGTCCAGTATCATACAGACTTCTCAGAATAAGGGGCAGTCTTCCTTCTCTAATTCTCCCGCAAATCTCTCGTGACTCTCAACGACAGTCTCATTCTCCGAGTCTCTCTCCTGTCTTTTTGTAGCACCACGACCCATAATGGTCGCCTGTGGGTGCTCACGCATCTGACGATGTGCCGACCGATTGCAGTCTCTCCCGTCTGCCTCCTCTTCAGCATAACTACGCTGGTTTATATAGATAAATCATGAATCGACCCTTGGCCCGGCACGTGATTATCATGAGTGCCAAAAACTACCCCCTTACATGTAAACCGATTCTCCAATTATTTACCACAAGTTCTTCTCGCTTCCCCAAAATTATACTTTGGGATATCTAAACATTGATTCAACCTTTTAATCAAAACAAATACTGTTAAACAAAACCAAATATCTTGTAGCCTGAGTAAGCTCTATTTCAATTTTTAACTGATAAATTTTAATTAGATCATTTTTTCATTGTTTTTTCTAATGACCCAGATTTAAAACATTGCCTCCTGCCTGAGATCATGTTTCTCATTGGTAAACACACATCTTAACCCAAATTGTACTTTGATATATAAACACCATTTCCACTCCCAGTCAATAAAAGTTATATTTGCGTGTGTGCATTCATGTGAGTGTATACCTCTCTCTGTTACATTTAACACAAATGTGGAAATACTTTTGAATGTATTGCTTTTGTAATTGGACTGTCAACTCTATAGAAAATACTCTTTTAGTTGTATGGTAGGTTATGAGCATAAAATTATAATATCATTGTTAAAAGGCAATTGGTTAGTTACTGACAACAAGCTTTCAAAGAACGTAACCATCAATTTTGTGAAGATAGAACATATTGCTTGAGTGAACTAAAGGCAAGCCAAATGTTAATAGAAACATCTAATCACTTCACATGTCCGTTACATTTTGCCTGTTTACTTTTGAACACATGTAAAAAGAATTCTTGAAAATTTTATTTGTAAAACTCATGTAAAATTTATACACCTTTTTTTATTCACAACACAAATAAATATTTTAATATTTAATGAATTTCCTCCAAATATTCATTTTGATGCATAACCCTGCCATGATTTAAAGTTTAAGAATTGGGAAAATGCAAATCAATTTTTAAATTTGCATGATTTAATATAATGATTAAGATGTTTTAATTAGTTTCTTGTTAAAAATATAGTTTAAGAATAACATATGCTTGAATTTAGTATAAACCCTTTGGGTTTCTTTTAAAAACAGTTCATGATACAAAATGATGAGATAACAAAACAATATTATCAATTTTATTATTAATTACACATATGTCAATTTGTATTTAAAGATGGTAAAAGAAGGTTTATTGTTCCAGTGGGCTTCATAGTTAACACATGGCATGAAAAATTTGGAGTAATAGCTTAAAACTGGTGCGGTCTTTTTCAGAAAAGTATATTTTTTATCAATTATTGGTTAATAATAAGTAAAAATTTTTTCCTGCCAGAAAATGAACAAAAAAGCACCAAAAATGACTTAATACAAATATATCCTGGTTTAAACTATGAAAATAAATTATTTTATGATATCAAGAGATATGTTTTATTTGACATTAAAAGAAAAATTTCTTTCATGAAAGGTACTTCGAATACAAAATCAATAATCAATACTAAAGACAGCAAAAGACGGTTTATTGTTCCATTTGGCTCCATAGTTAACACATTATGTGAAAATAATGAGTAATAATAGCTTAAAACAGGCCTAGTCTTTTTTTTCAATATAAGTATATATTTTTTTTTTATATACATACTTGTTTTCTTCCTTGGATTTCAAAATGCCTAATGGCAGCAAATCAACATGTAACTATTTATTTATTTACCATCAAGTCATCTGACACATATAGCCTCTTCACCTTTCAGATAATTGTTTATAAAAAACGTTTTAATGTAAGTGAACTGTTTGAAAGTCTAGGAAGGAAATTCATTTTATTACCACGTGGAATGAATTAATGTTTTTACAAATCAAATTCTGGGGCAGGGAAATAACTTTGTTTTGGTTTATTGTGATCACCTTCTATGAATGCTTTTAAATACCGAGCTTTTCCATGTCTGTTTTCTATGATTTGAAGTTATGTAATTAATTGCTTGCAAGTTAGAAAATTTTATTTTTAATAATGAAACAAAGATCTAAGGGAGACAACTGTGGCATTCAATGTTTTTAAATGTATCGCATGCGTCCAAATAGTGTGTTCATGTTTTTGTGTAAAAAAAACTCACTTCGATTTTTAATCTGAATTTGAAGTAATCACATTAACTAAGGAAAAAGGAAGAGTTTAAAAACAAAATAATACGAACTATTCACATAAAAAAATTGATATTTAGATTAATATTATTATTCAAATAACCTTGTTTTTTACAAAATCTACACAGCTTTTAGCAAAAATTTAAAAAATAAATTTAATTATTTAATATCAAATTTTTTAAATCATTTCGAATGAAATTGGGAAACTATTTCATTTTTTTATACGAATAAGAAAATATGTTTCATATTTCTTTTCTTTTTTTTACATTAGGGTCCAAAAACTCATAAAATCGTTTTAAAAATACGATTGTGATTTTATTAATTTTATTCTTAATACCATTTCATTTTAAACAAAATTCTGTGTAACTGTAAAGGTCACTCTTACGGGTCTTACCGTAAGAGTGAACAATAATAAGACGAAAATTAAAATGAATGTTTCTAAGTCAAGTGAAATAAGAAGATTTTTTTCCCGTTCGTCCCCCAACTTGCAATGAAAAATAAAGTGCCAAATTTTACACTAGAAAATTGTTAAATTCAGATTTATAGTTTCCGAAGTTACCTTTTTTTTAATGTAACTGACACAAGAAGACAAGCGTAAACAAATCACGAAAAAAAAAAAAAAAATTTTGTCAAATCAAAATATTTAACTAGTAACAAAATAAAAACAATTTGTTTGAACCTATTTTATATTTTTTTCATTTAATGTCATTAAAAGTTAGAAAATCTCAAAATACTTAAATAAATTTAAACTAAAGTACAAAAAGCAACTTGCTCAGTATCAAAACCTCACGAGTTGGAAAATAGAACTGAATTAAAACAAAAATGTTACTGTTTCTAAATCTAGTAGAATCGAATAAAATAATCAACACTAAACAGTGTTGGTAATTTAGGCAATATGAGATTTGTATTGAATTAGGAATAATAATCTACTACATCTTGTTTTATTGTAAACAATACCCAGAATTAGACTGATTGCACCATGTGAGTAAAGAAGCTAGGAGGAAATGTTGAAAGATTGTCATTTGTAACACCCCATGAATTAAGTAAAGAAAATTTCCACATATGTATGAAAAACAAGTACTTTTAACTAAAGGTACTCTCTCAGGCTATAGGACCCTAACAGTACCAACGTAGTGGTCATGGTTAAAAAAATGTAAAATAAATTTCATATATCAAGTTTGAGTTGAAAGACATTGCTTTTCTAATTGTATTTATTTTTAGTGTTTTTCTTCCTATTCCAGTTTAGTTTCTTGTTACACAATATCACAACGCAATAAATAAAATTACACAATATGATCAGATGGTATCTCTAAAATAAGGCATCAGAGATTAATTTCTCTACAATACATCATTTTATCAACCCCCAAGGAAGAACATTTTTATTTACACTTTTCAGTTTTCAATCATTAATCATTTTTGTGGTTTTAAAAAAGTAGCAAAACAAAACATGAAAAAGAAATATTAAACAAGAATTAATAACTATTTACTTACATGATGCATTAGTTTATTCCCTGATTTCTGATGAAAATCTACTTTTGATAACACCACAGACCGGTTATTATTTAAGACACAAGGTGACTGGGATCTTCTTGATCTGTTATTGTCACCAAAGTCCATACATTCTTGTTCATCTTCTCTATCAATTGATATGGCTCGGTTTTTCTTTTCATTATTTCCTCTTGATGGCGCCTTCCTGGAAGAAAAAGATGATCTTGGACCCCAATTGTTATAGTCCGTGAAGGTAGAATTTGTTAATGCTGAAGAAGACGCATAGAAAGATGGTTTGCCTAGATTATGACGACCCTTTCCTGTAGATTTCGGAATCACGCCGTTTCGATACGACATGGCCCTCCAAAAACTTGCCCCCTTTTCTTTTTAAATACTTACCTAAATAATAAAGGTTTTGTGGCGATCGGTTCAAACATGAGTAGTGAGTTTAAGGTACAACAGAATAGGCTAGGCTTCGTATATACATAACATCTTTTCGTTCCATACAATAACTTATTATCAGCATACACACGACTGTCGTGATCCGCGCAGGTTTTTTTGTTGCACACATACAACCACATACATAAAAGAATGTAAAAAGCTGACATATCGATACATACACATAACGACTAAACAGAACAGTTTACGACTGTCGTAAAAGTTCCAGTTTTGAATTATTCGAAAAAGCATCTGTTACTGTTGTTATCTCATGTTTATCTATTTATGCATTATTTTAAAATTATACTAAATTAAAAGCAATCATAAAATTAAAAATTATTTACTGTCAAATCTACGATAATTCATACTATTTTATGAAATTGATGTTAAAATATTTTTACTCTAATAATTATTTTCAGTTAAGCTATGTCTCTGAGAAAAAAATGTTAAGAATATTTATCCGAAAAACAGACAATTCAGTCTTTTGTTTGTTTATTTTGAATTTGTCCGTTAATTCAAGTAAAAAAGGTATATTTATCCAGTTTGAAAGTTGTGAATTGTTTGTTACTTTACAAAACTAAAACATTTTTTGAATTTTTATTTCTAAACTTTACCTTACTTAAAAAATGTATTTCAAATTTGATCATAATTACTTCAAAAGACTTTAAAAATTCTTGAAAAATGAATAAAAATATCTTATATTTTTATATTTTAAATTTTGTTGTAGATTTGAATCAACTCAAAAAAATAAAATGTTAATATTTATTGGATCTTAATATCTTTTAAAAATAACTTTGAAAATTGTATAAGACCAGAGATTTGATTTTATTTAATGAAAATATTTGTTTATTATTATTTAAAATATTTTGAAAGTATAAAATTAAATAACATCTACAGTAAGTATATATAACTATTTTTAAATATGGTTTTTAGAGTTGTTTATAAATTTATCTCCTAGAAATTCAAACATACTTATGACATGAAAGTACCCTGCTTAATTTCTCTTTTACTATTTATTGATGATTCAGAATAGTTGTCCTTAATGTATCCAGTTATTCCCTTTTTCAGCTTGTATTTGAAAACAATTCAGGGATTTCTGGTATACTGGTGAACAAACCAGCAGTTCTTAAGTGTGACATTGCAGTAAAGATTCTTCAGGTTTGTCATAGCCTGTCAGAAGTTTTAGTTTTCAATGAAAATGGAAGAACTCACTTTGACAGCCACTAGTCAAATGACATAAACTGGTTTCATGTGGGAAATTTATCCCAGTTTTCTCACATGGAAGGGTTGAGTTTAAAAAAATGCGACAAAAAGCGAATAAAAACAGCAAGCAACTACAGCTTGAAAGATTACAGCAGACAAAACTCTCTTTTTTAGGCAGGCGAATAAAGAAAGACTCAAACTCCTGCTCAATGTGTAACAATAAAAGAAGAAAATGTTTATTTACATGTATAAAAAAAGGGGTAAAGAGATAAACACAATTACGAGAGAAAGAAAGAGAGAAGGAAAAGTCCTTTAACTTTAAAGGAAGAGAAAATGTTCATAAAAGAAAAAATGCTTGCTCATATTTCTCTGAACACCTAAAAGTTCTTTAAATGAGTAGATTGTTGTTAAGAGTCAAATCACTCAGTTTTCTTCAGAGTTCTTGCAGAGTAGGAAAATGTTGGTAGATATGAAATTCCATAGTTGAGTGAGTTTAGGTCAACAACAGAAATCTTCAGTTGCAAGGAGGCAGTTCTCAATTAGTTTTTAGTAGTGGGCTGACATTCTGTTTTTTTCAGTTCAGCAGGTAGATCTTTCTTGAAGCTGACAGCAAAGATGAATGCCTTTCTGATGTTGACCTGTTGTTATCTCAGATGGTCGTTGAAGTTACTCACTGCCAAATAGGCAAAGATTCTCCAAATTTATAGAAATTTGGGAGGCTCAGAAGTATCAGGGACTTTTCACTCCAAAATTGTTATACAAATTTCCTGGCCCCCTTATTGGCTAGAATATATGTTCTTATCTCTGATAAGAATCAAGGCTTGGGGAGCCAGTTTTGAAAGCAAGAGTCTGACAAGCTGTGAATGTTTCCCCCAGACTTTATGGCACCATGGAAAGAATAATATAATATTAATTATTATTATTTTAATATTTTCCAGCTTTCTTCTTAATCAGAAAATATATTCTTATCTCTGATAAAAATCAAGGCTTTGGGAGCCGGTTTTGAAAGCAAGGAAAAAGGTTGGGGTGAGGATTAGAAAATAGGCTAGAATGTGAACTTGTAAAATATTGTATTCATGGTTCTCAAATTAAATTCAAATATTCATTTTAGGCTGGTTCCTCGTATCTGAGACAAGAAAGAAAAATTTAATTAAAAAGTCATAAAAATATTTTCTCACTAATCACAACTTCATCCAACAGTTCATATTCAAGCCACTCCAACAGTATATAAACAGTCATCAATTCAAGTTCAGAGCCAAAAGCTCATCCAAACTAATATGGTCATTTGCCTGTCCCTTGTCCATTTTGTTGAAGACAGATACCCACTGAAGTCTGATGCCAATGATCAAAGACATCCATAAAGGTGCCAAAAGGCTGATGTTAACAGAGTAGTTAAGGCTGCTAGATGATAAAAACTTCTCCTCTATGTGATATATTTCATGCGTATATTTCTTCATGTGATCTTTCTCTAAAACTACACCACACTACAAACTCCTACATTTGTGGCAGAATTCCCAAACAAACTCTCTAATCATTTTTGAATATCACCTGAGGCATATATAAATCTTTCTTTTCACTTTAACAGTATATTATCTCCATTGTCATGAGTTATTTCTCATTTCTTTTCTGTTAGTATGAATTATGGCACATTATTACACAAGTGTATTGTCTAAAAACATTTGAAAAAGACTTTTTATACTTATAGGTATTGTAGCTTTCAGAACTATCTCTATGCTCTCTACAGTGTCAAACAGGCTTTTATTTCTATCTTCAGAGAATTTCTATTGTACACTTCATCACAATATCCATCCTAGAGTTGAAGTTTACACTGGTGAACAAATATAATATAAAAGTTGAATGCAGGAAATATGGAGGGGAACAACAGTTGTCTTTGGTTAAGACAGACAAGTTCTATTCAAACATATCCAGTTACATCCATATCAGTTGAAAAACAAATTCAACCAAATTCTGCTAAACTTGATTAAACCATACCAACTTTAGACATCTCAGAATCACAATGCAATATACTTGATAAGAATATGAGTGAAGAAAGAAATAATTGTGACAGTTAGAAGGAAGTTAAAAATGATGTAAAAAAATAAAAATGACACACTAGTTTCACAATCCAAAGCTATAATAGTGTCACAAGGCAAAAGAAACTTACCAAATATAAAGTAACCTGGTTAGTATTTCTAATAAGAAGAGTAATTTAAAAAAAGAAACATTCAGGTTAAATGCAATTTTTTTTTATCATTTCACCCCAAGTAAGGCAATAAAAGCAACTAAGAGGTTAGTATGACTAAAAAAAAAATGAGAGAGGAAAATAAAAGAACAGGATTCAAGGAAGTAGAAGATAATGACTGACATTGCATTTAAATTTTTGAAGATTGTAGGTTACAGGAAAGCTGGAAGAGAGTTCCACAAGCAAGAAGTGTGAGAGAAGAAATTATGAGCATAGAACTTATGGTTACAACAAGCAATTTCAACAGTGAAATTATGTGACCCTTCTGTGAATCTAGTACTGCACTTAAATTTGTGAAGTTGAGGCACTAAAAAGGAAAGCTCATCAGAACAATCACTATGAAAAAAATAATTATAGAAAAGACAAAGGGTAACTTTGTTACAGTGGTGGGAAGTGACTGAAGCCATGATGTCAGATCAGGATTGATAACATTGCAAATACTTCTTTGGATTCTGTTAAGAATCTCTAGATATATAGCAGAAGCACCAGAACAGATGTGGCAGCAATATTTGATGCATGGATGAATGGTAGACTTATAAATGTTCAAGATTCTGGCAAGAAGAATTATCTAGCATGACACAGTGAACCAACTTTCCTAACAGCAGACCTAGCAATTTGATATAATCTTTATACTTCATGTCAGTGAGAAACAATGAATCACTCTTCTGGAGGTTAGCATTAGCCATGTTGATGGAAGACAAAAAAAAAGTTTCTTAAATGATTAAAAGAGAGTTGTTTCATTTTGTAGTCTTTAAAATTAACAAACCATTTCTTGTCCTAGATTGCATTGAAAAGATGATTGGGGGACTTCAAAACTGATTTCTAAATCTAGTAAATTTTCAGTCAAATGAATGGATAATAATGATACTATGACAGAAACACAAGTAAAAATATTTCAAAATGATGTACTCTCAGAGCTAAACAGAAAGAATTTGAAAGTTCAAAGGAAAATGATGTCTGTGGTGATAATTGCCAATATGCATGTAAGGTGGATTTTATGTCTGTTGAGGATAGACAGACCTTCATACAATCTGGAAAGTCTGCAAACTATTTAGTGTTTTATTGCTTCAAATTCAAGGATCCTTCATTCTAATAATTGCAAAACACATATTCTTCAGCTCAAATTGAT